ATCTGCAAGCCTCCAAAATCTGTTTTTTTAAAATAGCTTCTGGATGTTTATTAAATGTAAATGTTGCTTATACTCCTCACCTTCTCAGTCCCACCTTTTCTTTTTGATTTTACAGTTATTATTTCTTTCACATAAGTACTATTATATTTATCTTTGCTGCTACTAGTTGCCATCAAAACCCCAACGTGGGAGGGGGTGTTCTCCCCCAGAAAACTTTGAATGAAGTAGGTGCTGTTTCCTGCATTCTGGTGTATTTGCATGTTGTTAAACATATTTAAACTACATAAAGAAACACTTTCATAACTATTTTAGAGACAGATTCTACATTCAACTCATTATATGAATCATCCTTTTTGTGTCACATTGGATATTTGATTCTTTGACCAGCTGGTAGCCTAAGCAGTAGCATTTTAATAGGGTAAAAATAAACACTGGTGACTGTGTCGTGGCAGCCAGCCATTTCTTTAGAGACAGTAGGCTATGTCAAGAGAACAAAAAATAAAGTTTCTTCTGTTGCTCCTTTTTTACTGTCACAGCTCTAACCCTCCTTTCTATTGGCTAGGGACTGGCAAAGAGATCTATTTTTAACCATAGAAATGTTTTTATTAACATCCCATCATGGATCAGTCGCAGCAGCAGTATTCATTTCATGTCTGGGTGAGACGATGGATATCTGCCTGCAGCAGGGAGAAACGCAGCGTGAAGAAGCCTCCTGTCGGTGCTCTGGGACCGGGGAGGAGCTCTCAGCAGTACAATGGAGAAATGCGTTCACGGCAGAGTCTCGCAAAGTCCCAATGACACCAGAAAAAGAGTCGCTAGATTTTCTGTAAATATAGCGAGGAAGTCGCTAAATCGGCACCGCTGTGTTCCGCAACCCGCCATCTCTCATGTCAGCGAGCCGCGTGTCGGTTCGATTACGTCACACATTGGAGCGGTCAAATTATCGTACATTATGGGTTTTTTGGGATTGTTGATCGTACATCGTACATGTTAAATTTTGTTCTTGATAAGCTGTGCTCTCACAHCTGTGATTGTAAATTGACCTGAGCATTTGTCAATAAAAGAAAGGGGTGGCGTCACATCCGGCACGTGGTCTCATGTTGGGTGTGCGCTGCTGCTGGTTCACACAAAAGAAAAGTTTGTCATGTTCCTCTGTCCAAGAGTTGCCGGGCCATCGGTTGTCCTTTCTTTAATAATGGCAGCTTCAACAGTACAGAGGGCAAAATTATTGCACAAATACGATAATTATCGTACACCTGGCCATACTGGGGCTGAAGCTGCCCCGCTGCCTTTCTTTCCCCTCCTCCCCTCCCGCTGTGCAGGACTACTGCTTTGTGTGTGTGTGTGTGTGTGTGGGGGGGGGGGGGGGCGCAGCAGTCAGCTCTCCCCACCCGAGGCTGAAGGTCAACAGACGATCATGCTAAGCTTGCTAACTGTTCCACCCTCTGACTGCTGCAGGGGCGTGTCTTAGAGAGAGGCTTTTATACCAGAACACAGCCGCTGTGACGAAACCGTGGAGAACCACGTCACAGCAGAGAGCCGTTAACCAATATGCAAATTAGCCTGCAGTACCACTGCTCTACCCATATGAGCAGCAAAAAGACGTTTTTAGACCAAATATTACAGATTTGAACAAATATGCACAAAAACATCAAAATTAGCACAGAAACAGTACTATATAACATTTTAGACACATTCTAGACAGTTTATCAGCTAAAAAAGTTAATTTTGGGGTAAGTTACTCTTTAAGAAGGAATTTGAGAAAGGGATATCTGTCTTTCACACCTGAACCTGCCAAGTGGAAGAAAATTAATGAATGGGATTTCATGTATTTAGATCTGATAATGTAGTTTTAGCATTAAGGTTCATTTATTTAAATTTGGTCAAGTACGAATGTAATCCTGACAAGGGTAATTACGGTCTAGAAAAGTAATTAGACACAGAAACGTGGTTTGATTGTATGATACAACGGTCTGCCATACCCTGTAGTTCTACTCTATGACAGCTTTGTGTATACGGTGCTGGGATGTTTTATGGGAGTGCCGCCGGTGTTAAAATAGTCTGTCCAATGAGAGGACCCCACGTTTGAGAAGAACCCGGATGTTCACCATTCGGACCAATCACAGAAATGTAGGCCAGTTTGGGAGTGGACGACGACGCCTGACAGATAGGTTTCATTTTTTTTAAGTGTACAGATAATCACCGGTTTTATTTCACCATCATTTTGGTTAAAAGCGGTGACTTTTACTGTACAGTTTAGTTATCGTCGCTTAAAGCCGACGTAAAACGGGAGGAACGTTTCAGCTACTCGACTCGTTTTCCGCACGGAACACTGTCCGACTGGGACCGTAAATAAATGTACGGCCGTCGCTCCGGTCCTTCGGTCTGTCAGAGCGGATTCGGTTACTTTGGGTGACCGAAACCCGCCCTCTCTCTCTCTCTCCAGTGGACACAGAGCCGTGAAGTCAGTCTGTTTCGGAGCCGCAGCGTGAGTGGAGAGCCGGGGATGGAGTGGTGTCGGCGGATAGGAGGAGTCGGCGGGCTGCTGTGCTCCATGTCTCTGCTCTGTGTCCTCCTGGACATTCAGCTGGACGGTGAGACAGATTTTTATCTTGATTTAAAAACACTAAAAACACACTTTAATAAACACTTAAAGTACAACTTGACCAGTTAGCTGTTTAAATGAGAAAGTTTACCTCACTGTCATGGAATAAACTCGGGGTCATTTTGTTCTTAAGGTTTGAGACTCTGCCATCGGCGGGTTTGTGTTTTTGATATGTAGCTGAGTGAAATTTTAAACTTGTACGTGTTTTAGTTATGAAACATTAGCTTTGAGTC